GACAGGATATTATTAACCTTCAGTAAAGCAATTTATTTCATACTCCTTTGTGGGGATAAGCTTTTTTTTTTTTTTCCTTTCCTTTTACCCCTCCCCCCCCACCCCCCAAGAAAATATGTATGTGGAAATGGGTTTAGCAGAGCAGGAGACCTGGACTTGCAGCAAGTACGATTTAAAAATAAATAATAATAATTGACTTGAAAATTGGGCTCTTCTGTCTGCGTGGGCATACAAGAAACTTTTGTCCCAAGTGAATTACTTTTCCTGTGTTTGTTTTTTTTTAAATTATTTTTTAAAACATGCCTTTGTCTATCAGTGGGTCCAAAAGGGGGTTCCCATTGCATTTTAGAGCTCTAGGTATTTAATCACTGCTGCTACTGGAAGCCATAAAGCATTTTGTTTTCATTGCTTGCAGCTGTCTTCTAACCGAGAACTAGAGGGAAGAGTCTTTTGGTGGGACTTGCCTTCTTCCTATTGTTCCCTTTGCCCTGAAAATAAATGCAGATTGCTCCAAAGGTGGCTAGCGCCCGAATGGCCACTAGAATAACCATTTCCAACAGACAAGAAAAAGGAGCCAAGAGGATAGCCTGCATTTTCTGTTTGGTCTCATGGCTTTGTAGCTAAGGCCCTGGGCTGGCACTTGGGAGATCCGGGCTTAGCTCAGGGGTGGGCAAAATGCGGCCCGTGGGCCAGATGCGGCCCGCTGGGCTATTCTGTCCAGCCTGCGGGGCCCCTAAAAAATTTAGAAAATTAATATTTAGCTGCCCCTGACTGCCTGTCTTGCAGCCCTTGATGGCTTGCCAAAACTCAGTAAGTGGCCCTCTGCCTGAAATAATTGCCCACCCCTGGTTAGCTCCTAGGTCTGCCACAGATGTCTCATGTGCCTTTTGGGCAAGTCACTTAAGTTCTGTGCCCAAAGCTGCATCTGTAAAATGGGGGTGGTATTTCCCTTGTGTTTCTTATCTTCTGAAGACAGTAAGTTTGGAGCAATAAAGATTCTCTGAAACTCAGTAAGTGGCCCTCTGCCTGAAATAATTGCCCACCCCTGGTTAGCTCCTAGGTCTGCCACAGATGTCTCATGTGCCTTTTGGGCAAGTCACTTAAGTTCTGTGCCCAAAGCTGCATCTGTAAAATGGGGGTGTTATTTCCCTTGTGTTTCTTATCTTCTGAAGACAGTAAGTTTGGAGCAATAATGATTCTCTGTCCTCTCTCTGTGTGTGTGTGTGTGTGTGTGTGTGTGTGTGTGTGTGTGTGTGTATGTGTGTGTGCATGGGCATGTGTCAACTCATGCATTTAAACATATGCGTGCAGATTCAGGCTATGGTCTTAGGTCTGGCTGGGCCTGCGGGCACTACCGTCAGACAAGCACGTATTTAAGTGTGGGATAAGTGCCTTGCTCTTTTTTTTTTGTTTTTTTTTTTAATCAGTAAGTCTCAAAACAACTTATAGGGGTGGTGAGAGTCATTATTTCTATTTTGCAGATGGGAAAACTGAGGCCCAGAGAGGATAGTGACTTGCTCAGGCCCATGGCAAGAATCGGGGTTAAACCCAGGCCTCCTGTCCACTGCTTTGTCCGCTGTTTTTCCTTGATGGGACCACTTGTCCATCGTGCGCTGTATGGAAACCACGTTGTTCCATATGGAAACCTCTTTTTTTTTTTTTTCTTTCAATCTGGTAATATGCTTATTTGCTATTCTCCTTTTAATACCACGTGCTTATGCGGAGCCTTCCTTCCAAGGAGCTCAGTCTGCTCTGCTTGGTATGAATTCGCTTTGCTAGCACCCAAATCCGGTAAGGACGTGGCATTATCCCCAAATTATAGGTGTGAGCTCGGAGTCCAGAGCTAAAGCGACTCGACTGAAGTTTCACAGTAAATTGCAAGGCAGAGTTTCGTCCTCTAATAGTCTATGCAGTCTATGCAGTTTTGTTTCCCCTTTGCCTTACAGGAACTTCTCCAAAGCGTCTCTGCCTTGATGTCTATTATTAGAATTTTTCCAGAAAGAACGGCCCAGAGTTTATTTTGCTGTTGTCCAGCCCTGTCTGAATATCAAGACCATATTGATGCCGTTGTCCTAGAGCCCGGGTATCACACCAGGGAATACTCCGTATACGTGATGCCTAGGCTATAGGGTCCCTGGGGCAGTGGTTGTGTGTATTCTCCCATGCCTAATATCACAAAGACCTGGTGCCTTTGGCCGATACAACAGTGGCACCAATGACAAGAGCTGAGAGCGAGTATGGTTGGGAAAAGAGTGGTTTCATGTCTGGAAATGGGCCTTTTTCGTTAGGGTGCCTCGGGGTGAAAAAACACGACGACTCCCCCC